TTTCTGTATCTGGTATCCTTAGATAACCACCTAACCATCTGATCCTTTCCTCCAATCAGGAAAACTTAATTTTGATTTTTTTTCATGTACCTTTTCTTTCCGTACTTTGTTCCTCTTGTTTGCTATGCAAATTTCAATTTGCACTGGTACAAATGTATGGGGGCACAAATGGGCTGAGTGCAAATTCAGGTTTATTTTTGTTTCAGGTTTTACTTTGATTTATTTGCTTGGGAGGGAGTAAATGTTGTATCGGTTTTTGGGATGGAAAACTTTTATTATTAATGACTACAAATTTTGCATTAGCTAGGGGTATAAAGTCAGTTACAGACAGATGCATGCAAATCTAAAAGTAGGTGCAAATTTTGCATCTGGTTTGAATTTGCACTGCAAACAAATAAAGCCTTATGAGGAACCATTGCTTAGTGTGATGGGAAAGTCTCAGTCTGACAAGCATAAGAATGTGGATAGTCTGAGAGCAGCCACTTACATACAAAAAATGCTCAAGGTTAGGTCCGTATACAGTCATCCTTTGATCCTGGATAGCCAGGACCATATCCAACTCTTCGTGCATTGGAACCTTTTCTGTAGCTGACTTGAGTGTGCTGACTTCTGGATGATTTTCAAGTTCTTATAATGCATCTGTTAGTATCACGTTTCCCAAGCAATGTAGTTTCCATTGACATTTTTGGAAATGCCTACTTTATTTGCGTTATTATTGCTAAAAGAAGCTTCAAGCTTGTATATAGTTGATTCTAGTTTTGCCCAAATAATCAAGATATGCATGGAAATATTTGGTTTTTTTGCAATAATATCTTTATATGACATTTTTAGGAAGTTGCTGCTTTTCATTCTGCCCGATCACTTGTGATTTTTAGTAGTCTAACTTGTAGTTTTATGAACTAATATCTAGTTCCATTTCTTATCCATCTTCAGATGCATAGAAAATTAGCACAGGAAGCAGTACGCAAGTCACTTGTTCTGTTAAAGAATGGAAAGGATCCAGCAAAGCCACTTCTTCCTTTTGATAGAAAAGCACAAAGGATTCTTGTTGCAGGAAGACATGCTGATGATCTTGGATTACAGTGTGGGGGATGGTCAATCACCTGGCAAGGGAGTAGTGGCAGAATTACAACTGGTATGTTCTATGAGCTTTATCAATGTTCTGTTAATTATTTATTAAAAGTAAATAAAATCACTATTGGTAGAGGTTTCATGTGGTAGTCTAAGTTGACTTGCATGAGGGGGATATTATTTGTTCCTCAGTTCAATGGTATATTTCTATCTGAAAAAGATTTCCCTAAACCATGGTTTAGTTAATGATCAGATGGATGTGGGAATCCATTTGAAATTGATCTAAGCTTTGAGAGTCAGATCTTGGTTAGTCCCTTTATATAAATCGTAGCTGTTTTTAACCATAGACTTGGATACTATTGGAACTTTAGTTTATCCTAGTAATTTAGGAGCCAATTCTGGAGTTTCTAGAATGTTTTTTATTGATGTTTCTCATAGTATGTTTTAATACTTATTTTTGCTAGTATCTGGGTCTTAACATCATTGTTGAAGATTCCAGAAATTGGAACAGAATATTTTCAAACAAATTTTAATTGCAAATTTGAAATGCCTATGTTATTTGGGTAACCCTTAATCCTTTATTGAATGGATTTTATCATGACACATTAAATCCTTTGTCATAGGAACAACCATCTTGGATGGCATTAAAGAAGCAGTAGGAGATGAAACAGAAGTGATCTATGAGGAATGTCCATCACCAGCCACATTTGTGGGTCAAGGTTTCTCCTTTGCCATTGTTATTGTAGGAGAAGCAACATATGTGGAGAGCATGGGTGACAATTCAGAGCTCACCATCCCCTTCAATGGTATTGACATGGTAAACTTAGTTGCTGATAGAGTTCCCACGTTAGTGATTCTGATATCTGGAAGGCCCCTAGTTCTTGAGCCATGGCTGTTGGAGAGAATGGAGGCTTTGGTTGCTGCCTGGTTACCAGGTAGTGAAGGAAGAGGAGTGGCCGATGTTATCTTTGGCGATTATGATTTTGAGGGTCTTCTCCCCATGTCATGGCCCAGAATGGTGGATCAGTTGCCGCTGAATAAGGGAGATCAGTCTTATGATCCTCTATTTCCTCTCGGTTTTGGTCTGAGAACCAAGTAACCTCCAAACTTCATAGTTTGATTTCTAATGGTAATTACTAGTTTCTGAGCTAATTTAGAATGGAGGGGAATAAAAGAACAGAAAATACAGAAGAGGCACAGATTTGGACAAAGGAATTACATTAGCATTTGCTTTCAACATGTATGTAGGTGCTACGACAAATTGTTTTGTTTTAACAAAAGTTCAAGGTATCAGAAATGCAATCGGAGACAAATCAAGACATGCATGGATATGATGGAAAACTTAAGATATACATGGATGCACTTGAAAAACTCAAAATAAATTCCAAATATTACATCTATAGCACTAAATATAAGTCTTAAATGATTATGAATAAGGTGTATACACTTGAGAAGTAGATAATTTAATGGTTTATGTGAAATGTGAACTACCTGGAAAAACTTGGAAGACATTAAAAAAAGAGAACTATAATATGCATGCATACTTTAATCCCTGGGAAACCAATATAATTTTTGTTACTAAGGTACAGTTTGGAAGGAGTACAAATACAAATATGTAGAGTGCAAAACCTTGTATTGTGCACATATTTGTATTGTTTGCAAACCAAGCTTAATGAATTTTGGTGAAATTAATAGAGGATTAAATGAAAAATTAAGCTTATGGACAAATGCCTTAGAAACAAGGGGTTTTAAAATAAGTATGACTAAAATAGAGTATATGACATCTAAATTTAGTAATAATAGGAGTGTAAATCAAGATACATTTGGGATTGGAGACCAAGATAACTTGATGTAACTATTGCCGATACTTTGGTTCAATAATTTATATTAAGGGAGAGATTAAGGAGGATGTCACCCAAAGAATTAGAGTAGGATGGGCAAAATGGAGAGGTGAATTTGGACTTTTATGTGATAGGCAAATACCACTTAGATTAAAAGTAAAATTCTATAAAATAGTAATGCCAGTTATGTTGTATGGAGCAAAGTGTTTTGTCCAAAAAATTAATGTGGCAAAAATGTGAATGCTAAGATGGATGAATGGAAAAACTAAAAAAGATGATTAGGAATTAAATCATCAGTGGGAACTTAGGAATAGCTCTAATAGGTGATAAATGAGAGAGAATAGACTAAAATGGTTTGGAAATGTGCCAATTGGAAGAAGTTATTTGTTATACATTCAAGGGGTTAGAAGAGCTTAGGGTAGACCAAAAAGGACATGAATAGAAGTAGTAAGAAATGATTTAAACACCAATAATTTAATAGTAGATATGGCTTTAAATAAAATGGATTGGTGAAATAGGATTCGTGTAGCAGACCCCATGTAGATAAGGCGTGGATGATGATGATGATGATGAATGAATGAATTTTGATGAAAACCCACTTGGTTAGTTACCACTTTTGTGATGCTTGTTGATTGGTTATATGTAGGAATGGCAACAAGGCAGGTTTGGAGCAGGGCACCCCCTCCTTGTCCCTGCCCCATTCCTTGTGGCGTGGCACCCACTCCCCGTCGGGGGACAGGAAATCCCTGAATTTTCCCCATCCTGATACAATCACCCAAAAATAATCCAATTGTTGGATATTTTACAAATAAAATTATGGAAATTTGGGATATTTTAGCAATAGTTATGAAAATTAGAGGTACTTTAGAAATGGAGTTATGGGACTACAATTTTAAGAATTTGGGAAAAACTTAGAGATATTTTAAAAATCAATATTAAATATAGGGATATTTTATTAATTTACCATCGGTTTGAGGAATTTTATGCATTGTTCCCGCTCTATCTCTGATTTGGGGTAAAAGTATTTTTTCCATCATCGTTTAAGATCAAGGAAAATCCACATTGTTCGAGGTGGGGTCCCGGTTTATGGAAAAAATTGCCATCTTTATTATATGTTTTTCTAGTATCATGTCTTTCCAGCATCATAGTTGAACCCGTTTACAAATTATTCAAAAAATTGAAGGACATGGATTAAGAACAGAAAACCTCTACAAGTTGAAATTTGGAATCGAAGCAACCCATATAATTATGGCAAGAGAAAATGTTGACATAACATCGATTGCTGAGGATATTTCTATGTAACATTTTCTTTTTATTTTCGACCTTATTTGACATAAATAGACAATTACATGTACAGGATGAATGCCGTTTTTTTTTTTTAATTCAACATTGCTTTAGTATAAAGTCAACATTTTTTTTTGCATGTATAAAGTATAAACATGTCCATGAACCCATATTTTCTCATCTTGCCAAGTCAAACTTTTGGACACGCATCAAATTTCTATTTCCAATTTTGTGTCGGGTGGTGGATCTATTGTATTTCAACCTAAAGTCTTAGGTTTAAATATTCATTTTTTAGTTTTACACCATAAAAGTTATGGTGTAGAGAATCAATAAATGGCTTAGGAACAAAATGCCTTAAATTTAAGAGTCAATCAAAGGGATGTCTTAAATACAGGAGTTAGCTAGGGTGATGTTTGGTATAATTGCCATTTTCTTACACATGGCCACGCCTTGGAATTCCGTTAACTATGGTTTTTTGTATATTTCATATTGTTATTTTGTGTCAGTTAGTTACTCATAACATAGGTAAAAAGGTAAAAACGTTTCCATTGCAAGAAATGTTAAAATGATGTTAAAAGGAGGAAGTGTTCCCATTGCAAAAAATGTCAAAATGATGTTTTTTTTTTCAAAAGTTTGTCGCAGAATTCGAGTCATTCAGGGTTGTTTGAAATGGCTTGAAAACGGTCAACCAAACAAGAAAAAGATAGAGAGAGAAAGAGAGAGCAAAACACTTACATGTCTTAGGAATCTTGATTTAGATTCCATTCTTCCATGTATATTTCCTCTCCCCCCACTGCCCATCCCAATGGTTCCCCCCCCCCCCTCGAATGGCCCATTTATAATTAATACTCCCAATCCAGTTTAAGTTTTGGTCCCCTACATGAAAAATTCTTGACTCCGCTCCCGTGGAAATGCCTTGGAGAGACTCGAGTACTAAAGATCACCTAAGAGAGATGTCTCAAATCATCATCATGCATGCCTTATTCCAATTATATGGGGTGGCCAAGAAAGATGCCTCAAATATTGGAATTAATTAGGATTTAATTACTGAGTTATTGCAAATTTGATTTTGAATGAGAGATATGATAAAAAACATGAGACAAAAAATTAACTTTTTTTAAAACTTGGGTTCTAGGCTTTTTTATGGCTACGCAGACTTTCTTTAAGCTGTGATGCACTTAATATGTCTAAAATTTAGGAAACATCTCATTGTGAGAAACCATAAGACGGGAACACCATTTTTGTCCTTACAAGAGATATGGTAGGGTAGATATTGATGCAGATGCTAGCAGTCTTTTGAAATTTTATGAAGGATTTTAGAAGGTCAAGAACTGTTACATCCATAAAATAAGAGTATGTTTGGAATGAGAATGCCCAGATGGATGGTGGAAAGACCATTCTGGACAAAATCAGAAATGGGTGCTTGCAAAGGAACTCAATGGTAACCTAACAAAGTGACATGATCATATAGTTGTCATGTGGACCAATAATAGCATCAACCATAAGAAGTGATTTGGTGCAAATTGAAGGAATGTACCCACATTTCTATAGAGCAGAATACATGAAAACAGATTTTTTTTTTCTTTATTGTTGTTGTTGTCCACCATTCCAAGTTTCCGATTTGAGTATTTCAACTTTCAACTACTTTACACAAGCAAACTTTTGAACCTTAACATTTTTAACATGACAAAGGGAGCTACGTGTTTAATACTTTGTTGGTTTAATCTATCCTCCAAATTGCTCTTTATTTATTCAGATATTGTAGCAGAAGTATGTCTCTTCTTGTCACTTGTACAAGTACCTACCTGTCAAATTGTGGTAAAATATTAATTAATTGCTAAAAGATTTAATGTGTCTTCCTCCTTCCATGCATTACAAAAGAGTGTGATCAGAGTTTTTTTCCCTCTTCTTGGTTTCAATTATTAACTGTAGAGAAGAAAGAAGTTTGATCCACGTGAACCACTCTGCCAAGCTTTCAGCTTTCTCTTTTGATTATTTTGATTTTTTTCTTCCGTACGTAGTAGGCTTGATCTGTAAACACTAAACACTAAACACTCTAGTGCATGGTCATTGAAAGAAAGTTGAAGAGAAAAAAGAATCAGAATATTGTTTGAGAGAGAGAAAGAAATCAATACGACCAAAAGTATAAAGTTGTGAGGCTATGTATGTGGTCTTAATCAACTTAAGGAGTTGATCAAAATTAGAATAAAGTGGCCAAAGTGCTTTCCTATGCAACTTGCAGAAAAGGCTGCTCCTTTGAAAAAAGAAAGTGGGTAGTTTTGTCATTTACCTTGGGAAAAGTTAGTTGGGTTGATCATATTGCTCTGTAATGTTACTTTGAATTCTTTTCTCATTGGGTGAATGGGGCCAAAATTATATGTGCTAATGTCATGGGGTGGGCACTACTCTTTTCATGATGGTTGTTTCAGCAGCAAAACAACAGCAATGCTTGTAATAGCAACCAGCAACACCAAAGCCAAAGCCAAAGCCAAAGCACCAACACCACCTCCAATAACAACAACAACAGAAAGAAGAAAAATAAAAAGCATAAAAAAACATACAACTGAGCAGTGATCAATATAATGTGTTTATTTCATTTGTCAATTTCTGAGATAAATTATTCATTTAAGGGAAAGGAGTGCTTGCGAAAGTACATTCAGACAAACTTTTGGACCCATTAGATGCCATGCATTTGGAGCAACGGAATTCACCATTGCATGGATCTCATACAGGGAATTAACTCGGACAGACAATCAGCTTGAACAGAGATGATTGGAATAATTCTGTGTTTTCGTTCTCTTCATTTGGCTGTGTTTACTTCCTGGCCGTGCCAACTTTTAAATTCCATTTATGGAATATCTTTTGATTTTTGCAACTCTGTTCAGGTTTACAATTTTTTAATTTAAAAAAGCGCCTAGACAATCAGAGGCATACCCAGCTGAAATTTAAGTGAGTGTGATGAACACTGGCTGCAATGTGGATGTGGTTCCTTCCTTGATCAAATTCATCTAGAGGGATCAAACGTTCTCTTGAATACATAAGACCCACAACCATGGGTTAACCCAAAACATCCTTTGATTTACTTTTGGTGCTTAGTTTGAGAATTGAGACTGCCTTCTGTTTCAACCTGAGGTTGATAATTGATATGGTCTTCAGGGATGAGATGGGCAGCTTCTGCTTCTGGGTTGCCATGCCCCATAATTCAACTTCCATCAAAGTCAGCTTTATGCCCCGCTATGTATATCACCTATTCAAGGCCTTGAGTTAAAAAAAAATGCCCAAACTGACGGAAAAAGAGGATCTTGTACTTCATCCTGGTGATAGTGAGGGTGGTTAGACTGAACACCGACGTTAATACAAACAAAATCCAACCTCTGAAAAAATAAAGTTTTCCAACGTTATCATACGCCACCTGAACCTTCACCTTAAATAGCGATGGTGGTGGGGGCGACAGTGTTGAAGCCCCATGAGATAACCACTCTGGTTGCCACGTGGAAAATTCCAGAGTCAACTAGATATTTTTATTTATTTTTTTACTAGATGATATCCAGTATTCAACCACACATTGTTAAATAATCAAACCACCCTACGTTTGCCTCGTCAGATTATGGAATCATTGATCTGATTTGAACATTGAACGCTTAATTAGGAAGAAGGTTCTTGTTCTGAAAAGAAACTTAAGGAAAACTCAAGGTCGTATGATATTCATTCCCAAAAATAAAGAGAGAATCTTGAAGCCCCAGCTTCAAGCTCCAACATACATCAGCCACCTTGATTAAGGAAAGTTGATAGAAGATTTGTTTCCTGCATAGCGAAAAGCAGAGGACCCTAATCCTTAGACAAAAGCCATAATGCTAGCAAAAATATCTGGAAGCAGCAGCAGCACACTTGAAACCTTTCTTGTTAGTTTAGTTGGTGGTTTCCGTACCTTCCGGATACACAGACTGCCGACGGGAAAAGGAGAGAAAATTATCTAAAGACGAAGGGATAAGGGAGAAAGGATTGCAGGAGATGTGGAGTACATAACATTGGCAATCTCAGATGGGATAGGGATATTTTCACTGTTTCATGCATTCTCTTGGGTTTATTTCATTAGACCACCAATACCCACTTAGGAAATAGGATTAGGATCTTCCTCTGAGCCAACATGCCCTCGTGAAAAAATAAGTAGGGAACAAGGAAAAAAGGAGACGATTGAAGCATGAGATGCCGACGCTAGTGGAATATATGACTCAGCCTCTACTAAGGTCAGGTGGTCAAGCTCAGTCAACTAGGCCATATTGGAATTGGGAGGTACAAATCCTGAATTAGGTAATTTACCCAAATTAAATAGAGTGGTGTGTGACTAGGCCAAGTTGAACTGAACTACTGATGACATGGAGTTCTGATTGACACTGCTTCGGTTCTTTACCTATGAAATGGACATGATGGTTCCATGCCATGGACCATACTTTGGTCTCCAATGCTGCAAATCCTTGAAACTCATCAGAGAATTTTATTAGTCTGGTTACTGGTTTCATGTCCGTCTGCAGATGCAGAAGCTTTAGTTTTGGTTTTCCCAAATTTAGAGTTGAAAAAAATTGGATAACCAAACCTGCGAAGGATTTAATTGCTCAAGGAATAGAGAACAAGACAGGAATAATATAATTCAAAGTAATGGAGACAAGAGGTACAAAGGTTTAGGACTGGTGGTACTTTGGAATCAAATATATTTGATGATGGAACTAATAATATTAACAACTTTAAAATAAACCCATTTTCTAATCCTTTCTACCTATCATTAGTTTTAAGCAGATGATCCCTGGAATATATCAATCCTTTGGTTTAAACTCTAAGAAGCTTATCTCACTGGTTCGAGCAATTTCATTCATCACAGTAACATGAACTGCAGATACCGTCTCGCTGATACAGATCTCTCTGTATAGAAATCTTCATCTTGAGGGAAAGCATCCTAAAGTAAAACAGATCATATAATAACTGGACAACCCATTATCTGATCAAATCTACTGCTTGAATGCCATTTCCCCAAAATGTCAATTCTTACATAACATCAAGGCATATTTACAAATGACTCTGCATTTCCTTACCATCTCCTTCAACCCCATATTAGAATATCTGATCCAAAGAAGACACCTCAAATTCAACATGAAATCTTTAACACAGAGAAACCCGTGTTCAAAAATCCTCTCCCTCAGTTTCAAGATTCAGGCTTTGAAACTCAAAGCACAATATATGATCTTATCTCCTATTTTTCTGATACTATGAACTACTTCAAGTCTACATCCACATATTCACATAGAAACCATGACAAAAGCATTGAGAACTCAAAAGACAGTCATGCTATCTGGTGGTATTGTGAGGATTGCATCTGAAATATTGAATGCTGAGGTCCAAAGTGATATCCATAAGAAGCTTCTCTTGGTTGATGTTGCCCTTGTAGTTTATGCCCATAAGAAGCTACCCCAGAAGAAGGTGACATGAACATGTTACCATTTGTTTGGTTGAAAACCATGGCAGGCCCATTGTTTGGCTGACTCCAATCAAACTGTACTTTGGGTGTGACAGCCAAATTAGATTGCTGGGGAAGCACTATAGAATGATCCGGTGAAGGGGCTCTATCATTGTCCGGTGAGGGAGGTCTAGTGTCTGTGATATTGACAGTTGTGATGTCGTGGATGCTGGATCTCCTTTTATCTTTTCCTCCTGAAAGCTGCCTGATAAAGTACTTCTGGGCATGGCTAGCTACTTGAGTCGGTGTTCTAGTGACAACGAATTTCCTCGAGATATTTCTCCAGTCTCCCTTACCATACCTTTTAAGGCCCAACAAAAACAACCTGTGTTGGTCATCCAAAACCCAGAAAACCAAATTCAGTCAGTAGCTCAAAGGAAACTAGAATCTGGCAAAAGAAAGAATTTCAGGTCGACGACTACGAGCAGAGAAGTTTAACTGCAAACAATCAGATTAATGAGTTCATGTTACAGGCCAGCCAAAAAGTACAGACACGTAAACAGTAACAAGTTAAGCGTTCATTGAATTCATCTTTGTTGTAAGCTCTGGCTCTGGGAAATAATGAAGACGCCATGAGTTAAAATCCAAAATCACAAAGCTACATGGCTTAACTCAGGCATGGAGGAACAACTGAAATTCCAAGACTTCAGATTTTCTAAACATGACATAGTAAGTAACCTGCAACAACTGTCAAACGGTAAAATTCAGAGACACGACATGATAGCTTACCTGTGCTCATCTTCTGACCATGGGACCCCTTTCTTCCTCTCCTGATCAGAGGGCCGACCGGAGGTAGCTCTCCTGCCGCCGGGGCTAAACGATTGCTTAAACCCGTCGAACCCACGATTGTTGGTCCAGTCTAATGTGAAAGAAGGGGTGCGATACCCAGGAATCGGGATCCGGCCAGCTTCTATATGGCCAACGTCGACCAGCAATTCATTGTACTGCCTCATCACGTCCTCCACGGTCTTGCCTGGAATCATTGCCGCCACCTTCATCCATCGATCAGGAGTGTCCTTATCATATACCGCAAGAGCATCCTCAAACCTCTTGTTCTCTTCATGGGTCCATGCCCTGCTCTTTCTCTCATGAAGAAACCAATTCGAGTTGGTATGATGATAGGAAGCCGGAGAGAGAATTTCCATTCCCGATCTCATCGTTTCCGAATTACAGTTACAGCACAGAATTACAGCTCATACCAATCCGATGAAAAAAAAAATAATAATCTCAGAATTCGCGGGGGGCCAGTCAGCCTCCCTCTCTCTCCTTCCACGGAAAGAGGAAAGTCCTTGAGTTTGCTACAGTTTGATAATTCGATTCCGGAGAATAGGTTCGAGATTTTGATTTCGATGGAACAGAGAAGTAGAGAGCAAAGGAGGGAGAACCCAGAGAGGAAATGCAGAGGTGGGGGTTTTAAGACGAGAAAACAGGCTTTAAATCATGAAGCATTTGCAGGGAATCCGAATACCTTTTTTATGGAAGCATAACCCGAAGAATCTAGAAAAGACCCACTTTCCAAAATCGACGAAAATTCGAAAGAAAAATTATTTGAATAAAGAAAGTACAGATCTTTACTGGTCATAAATAAACCCTAAGGCCGCCAATCAGATCTGAAACACTCAAATTAAAATGAAATAGATTCCAAATTATGAATTACAAAAGTTGGAGAAATTTGAAGCGAAATTGCCTTGGCAACTTTAAATCCACTCTCCCACCAAACCAATTTAACACCAAAAGAAGCAATAAAAGCTACGGAAACCAGCCCCAGATGAGCACAAGAGCAACCCCAGAAACCCAACTGAGAAAACTGTGAGAACAGAGGACAATCTGAATTATCGAAACAGAAAAAGGTGGGAAAGCTCAGTTCTTTCTTCCTTTTCCTTGAGGCTAGAGCAACAAAGAAAAGAGAAAAAAGAAAAAGAAAAGCAAGTAGACAACAAGCGTGAAAGAATGGATCAAATTGGCCAGCTCTCGCCTCCTCGTTGGAAGAGATACCTACAAACTCTACAGAGAGGCTACCGAGGAGAGAAGGGGGTGAGAGAGAGAGAGAGCTAAGTTGAAGGTGTTCGGCTGCGATTGGATGGTTATGCTGTTTGTGGGCTCTGCGATATGTCAACTCAACTGGAGTCTGGAGAAAAAGTTCCCCTCCGTATTAAAATAAACCGCTCTCTCTCTCTCTCTCTCTCCCTGTGTGTGTTAATTATTATTTTAAAATGTGATTAAAAATATTGTTGTTATTTTCTAGTTTTAAATGATGAAATGCAGCCTGGAGCCCTGGAGCGATGTCCCATTGTGAATGATGGATGCTAACCTGTTCTCCACTAATCAATTCATGTCCATCTTGATTTAGGCCGTATGATGGGCAATGAAAAGAGAAGAAAACCGAACAAAAATTTGATAACTAAGAAGTTGTTTGGATAAGTTTTTGCATGGGAAGTACTTTTATGCTGTAGCCTGTAGGTAGGGAAAAAAATTGCATCAATCAGTGCCCGTGTTGTGGACAAGAATAGCTTGCCACGTGGCTTTGATTGGGCTTCATACTGAATAGAAATATAGAATCATAGATCCCACCTAAGAGAGGAGATTTTCTGTTCCAAATAGCTTTATGAGTTATGACTTTGTGCTCTCTCTCTCCCTCGTTGGATATCAACTCTCGCGCGAGTTGATTTTTTCCATCACTGTAGGTGTTGTTGTTTGGTTATAGTTGAAGTGGCCGAATTCTTATTTTGTTTTTAATTATATAAAATACCTAAACAATAAAGTATTTGAGGTTATCATAGTAATTAATCCAGTTTCGAAAGCTCACAGTTTTCTTAATAACTTATTCACTAAAAAATAAAACAATAAGCCGTGCAGTTTAACCACTTCAGCTGTTTCAAACAGCCCCTAAGCAAAAAGCATCTATCTGTTGCTAAATATAGAATTGGAGGAAGATTGCCAAGGTATAAAAGGCAAAAGGAATAGTCATTAATTTGAGTTCTATTCATTTTATACTTTTAACTCCATCTCCCAATGAACAAGTTTTTTTAAAGTCGGACAGGACACGGAACCTTTCTAGGACCGGTTTTCGAGTCAAATGATCTGATCGTCTGGTTCAAACCGATAGTTTGTTATAACTTAAAAAAATAAAAAATAACCAAAAATTGTTGTCTGGGTTGATAAGCCGATGGTGCAACTGTTTGGATCAGCGGGTTATTGATCAAATCAATAATTTTTGGCGAAAAAACGACATAGGGTGAAATGAAACTGATTACCTGACCAGTTCCCAGGTTTTTCAATCCAGTCCGGTTTTCAAAACCATTCAACCATGCAATGATCTATATATTTACATCTTATAAAATGAAAATTTTCTTCAGGCTGCATTCCTTACAAGTGTAAAAGTGGACTGGGTGTAAGCTTTTCTCCATTATTAGTTTTGAAAACACCTTTAGGTCTTTTCTTTGTTGAGTAGATAGGGGGTAAAGGAGTCTGATTTGTGCGTCCTTGAGTGTAAACTTTACATCCTGAAAATTTGATACATATTCCAATCTTATCTAAATAAATAGATTCAGCATTCGCTGAAGGCAAAATTATGCACAGCGGGCTAGGCAACTATGAGGAATGAACATACTAGTGTTCTATACACATGGGGTCTCATAAAATCCACACCTTTTGCATATATAATACGGGCATGTTTACTTATGAAAGATTGCCCAGCCCGTTGTATATGATTTTGTCTCCAACAAATCCGGACCCAAAATATATAGAGCAAAGTGAGATCTAAACCAAAATGAATTAAACTCAATAACTCAACTATTTAGGAGTTTCTAAGTATTTAATAAACTATTTTCCGTGTATACTTAAATATGAACAATTAGTCTTTCGCAAAAAATTAAAAACACACACAATTGCAAAGGCTTGAACCTCTCCAACAGTATCTAACTTGCCACATGTCTAATATCAACTTAAAGTTTCCTGCATCCGTGGTCACCAATGAAATATAAACAGACCAATGTTTTTAGCCAAACATCAGTTAATGCGATATTCTTTTCTCTTTCAAACACTAATCTCAATATTAATATATTAATATCTTATAGGACTGGGACCAACAGTTTATGGGTTCACTCTTAGAGGTTAATTGAACTAAAAGTCAGCTTGAGGTTTGATTATCACACTACCTTTTCACTGTTGACAGTGCAAAAAAGTTGTATTACAACTCAAGTAGCTTTGGTAGAGGGAAAAAAATAACTCTCGAAGAAGCTCCAAAAGCAATATGGAGATTACTTGTTAATTCTTTCTAATGGTGGGTATTAATCCTCTCATTGAACGAAACATGGTATGATGTGGTCCCTAAATATCAACTAAACATCCTTAATGCTCTGGACCCACAGAAACTCAACCCACCAATTAGGAGTCACACTAGTCCTTTCAATTGACTAGAATCTACTTTGCAAAAATATCCAACCATGTATGGGCTTTAATATGATCTCCATCTAGTATATATCAATCCAAGGGTTAAAAGGCCACACTTAGTTACAGTTACCCTAATTTGATTAATTAAAAGTAGTTGCTCAATTAAAATAAGGGAATAAGGTCAAAGCAAGAGACTTCACCCTCTTCTTTTATCTTTCTCTAGCTTTCCCAACCAACCATCTTACACATCTTTGGGCCTCACCTTCTTTTTTCTCCAATGTTTTGTTCCCACCATCATCTTCTTTTTGTTGCTGTCTTCTGTTTCTTTCACCCCCTAAAACCCCACAAAGAGAAAGAACAAAGTATGAGAATGTCACTGGCAATCATCATCAGATTGGAACAATTCTATTGGTGTATGCCACAATCTATTCCAATTCAACGTTTGAAGGACATAGTCTTTAGTGAACTTTTACCTCAGAAACTGATTTGGAATTACAACTTGTCATAGATGATGATGAAAACCATTTAATTATGTACATCATCACCCATTTGATTATATAGATAGATAGATAGATAGATAAATAGATGTATTAGATAAAAACAATAATAACAGGCTCCATTCAGTAATATAGTACGTAATGAGGAGGACCATGCATGGTGAGAGATTCTAATCCCAGAGCTATTAAATTTCACCAGTAGTAGCTTAATTTATAAATTCCTCAAAGCGTGGGAGCTAGCATCCTTCTCTCTGTTGGAAGCAACCTAATAATGGGTCCAGCTCAACCAATACAACATAGCGGTCCCTCTCTGATGTGACCAACTTCTCCCACCCTTTCTTTTGTCCTCTTTCGCACCGTTGCACGCCTAGGACGCCCCACAACCGCCTGGCTCAGTCATTATTGAGTCCTCTAAATGAACTTATTAACCGACCTTCAATTACGGATGCAATTTGGGTGGGCTCAACCTGAATCCAAATCAGCCCAACTCGAAATTTTATACGAGTTGGATTCGGGTCTAAGAAATTGAGTTTTTTTATTTTTTAAATAAAATTTGGACCTAGTTCTTAGGTAGTTTGAACCCGGCCCTAATCCCAACCTGAATTCATCAAATTATAATGCAGGCTGAATTCGGGTTAAAAAAATCGGACTTGACCTCAAACTCGATCCAGAGTTAGGCCTTAATCCAAATTTTAGAACCAGGCCCAAATTGATCATAAACCCGACCCAACCCGCTCAACTTAATTGCACCCTTAGGTTCAATGGACTGATAAAGATATTTGTAGCTTTTAATAGCAGATTTGGCCCTTTCTGAGATGCAAAATTGCATACCTCACGACAAGACATGAACAGAGTCCACACTTAATTTTTGTTTCGGCTTCATTTATGAATCTGTGGGCTTTACATTTAATTGCACCAAAGTAAATGGTCAACTAGTATCGCTCGTATAAAACTTTGCTTCGGAAACTAACTTTTCAAATTATAGGAAGAGTTAAAAAAGGAATTGCTTTTGCTTATGAGAAAAACAAAACTAATTTGCTTCGCGGGACAATTTCAAAAATATCATTTGGAGTTATTAGTTATTAACAAAAAGTTTATCAAAATAAACGAAATAAAACCCGATTTACTTTATTTAGTATGGGTACTTTGGTTCTCTTTATCTTTTCTGCTTTTACTTGCTTTCCTTTCTCTCATGGTGGGTGGGGAGTGAGTTTGTGGAGCCAGGCTCAAGCGACATACAATCATATACCCCACCTGCTAACCTTTAACATTTGGAGAGAGAGAGATAGATTTAAAATTCTAGACAAACACAAACTTGGAATTCACCAATTCGAAGTAAGGTCAAAGATAGAAATTAAACTTTGAGCCGAAATAAAGCCCAAAATTTATTGGGACTCACCGGCACTATTTGGAGAAGTTAAACTTTGAGCCATTTTATATCAAAAAATTAAAAGAAAAAAAAGAACTTTGAAGTTTGAACCGAGATAAAACTCCAACCTCCAAATTCATTTTCTTTAAGATAATTTCTCTTGGGGACTGGGGGAGTCCTGAGAGTTTTACTTTTATCAACAAATGGATATCGGATTCAATCCTCACAACACCGTCTTCACAGCCTTTTACAGCCTATATTAAGAATATCTCTATATTTTTATGCTTTTTTTCATGTGAAGATATTTTCAATGTAGGGTCATAAGGGACTATGAGGATTGTGGGAAAACGGTCTTGTGAGGACTAAATCCAATTTTGACAAAACGAAACAGTTGCCATATTCTTATTTTCATGAGGACTTGTTGCATTACCTTTATAATTGGTAAATGAGGTGGCAAAGGGGAATCTCATAACCCCACAGAACCCCAAAAAGGTGGGATTCAATCCCAAATCTCAAACCTTATCAATTGAGCCAGTTGACATCTTCAACAGGAATGCGCCTTTAAACATATAAATACAAATTATATTTTGAATTTAAGCATGTAAATACAAATTCAGCAATGTATCCAACTAATAGGTAACCAGTATATACTTTCTTTTTTCCTTTTTCTTTTGCTTTTTTTTTTTTTTTAATTTTTGGGTAAGAGGTAACCGGTAGAAATCCACACAAACAATACCTTATTTTGTACTATTATTTCTTTTTTTCATAAAGAACCAAAATAGTTCAAGGACTATTTTGTCTATATATAGTTAAAGGAATGCTAACAGCATCATTACATTTTTTATAGAT